CACCCCCAGTGGATCAACTATAACCCGGAAAAGTACGCGCCCATCCCAGAGCTGGAGGAGGTCAAGAAAGACGTGAGACACGACGCCTGCTGAAGGAACACCACACGGCATCACCCACATGGGGAGATTCTTACTTTACTTTTTTCTTCCGCTTTTACCTGTCCCCATTGTTTTATGCACCCCGCATAATTTAACAAAATTTGATCATTTTTGCGGGGCATAATTTCACATTATTTTCCTTTATCATTCTTTGTTAAAAATTAACAGAATCACTTATTTTCACATTTTTGGGCTCAGTTTGCATAATTTCAAAAAATTTTCTGGCTTAAAACGACAGGGACAGTTTTATCGGTGGGTGTTGTGCACAGAATTCTATGAATAGTGTTGAATTCTGCGGGGTCGCGGGGAGATACAGGCATCTGTCTGAAGCAAGGCGAGTGGCCTGTAGGAGGGACATCCTTTGAGCTTTGAGGAAGGGGGGTATCGTATTCAGTGATGAATAAATTATAGATCAATAAATCAAAATAATGAAGATTTTAGATATCTGCATTGTATTTTTCTATTTGTATTAATCTGCAAGCCAAAATCTCGTGTTTCAGACCAGCGACAGTCTTAAAATTGTTCAGAAACTACTAGAACTAGATGTCGATGCAAGTCCCAGCCACAGAGGGACGGTGCTGGCAGGGAATGGTCGTACGTGTGTAAGCTTATAGTACTTTTTGTCAGAAGTAAAGCTGCAGAAAGCTCCTGGGTCAATACAATTACAATTTATCTTATATACACATGTAAATTCTTGTTTTATTCTATTCAGAGTGGAACGCCCTACACGCACCAATCCCCTTCCCTAAAAAATAATAATTTTAATTTTTTTAAAATTGTCATCTACAATGTTTTCTGGAGGTAATGTCTACTTGATCAAAAGGATTAATGTTTTCCCCCTTTGACTGAATAAATCCATCTTCTATGTTACTAAAAGTTTTAACTTCAACGTTTTGGACGGAAAATATCAGATTCTTTGTACATTAAAAAAAACCCACACATCACCCCTCCCCCCTAGAAAATGTACATGTCACTAACCAGTTGAAAAGTAATAATAAAGACGTGAATGTAGAGAATCTAAATCATTATAATTGTTACTGTATTGAGTTTGTATTTGGTGTTCCTGTTGCGAATGTTTGTTTGAATCCAGTTTTTGTTTGGATAAAAAAAAAGAAAAAAAAAGAAGTTGACAGGATAATTAAATTGCCGTCTTAATCATGCTGGAATTCCCTAGCAGAAAGTATACATATAGTTGATGTAGTCCAAATTGTCCAAGACGGCTGTACTCATTGTCGAGGAGAAAAGTGGTTGTCATAGACAGGTGGACGTCTCGGACAGGGTCATATTGATACACTGTGGTGTCGGTGGCCTAGTGGTTAGGCTACAGGACTCGTAACCGTGAGGCTGCGGCTGTCCCCGGAGTTTTATGCACCCCGCATAATTTAGCCAAATTTGATCATTTTTTGCATATTTTCTTATTATTTATTTCCTTTAGCATTCTTTGTTAAAATTAACAGAATCGCATAATTTCACATTTTTGGGCTCTGATTACATAATTTCAGAATTTTTTTTTTGCATAAAGCCGTGGGGACAGGGCTGCGGGTTCAGGGGTTCGAGTCGCGGGCCCGACGTTGTGTCCTTGGAAAAGGCACTTTACACGAATTTTCCTCACTTCACCCAGGTGGGAATGGGTACCCGGTCCTAGACAGCGAACGATCTTGTCAGTTCAGTATGTAAGTGTTTTAGTGCCTATAAATGGCCGCTTGCAGTGTATGCTTCCCAGGAAGTTGATGTTGTTTCAGAATACTTTCAGGTCTGCTGGGGTAAAAGTATAGATTGTGAAGCGAAAACAGCTTACTGTTGAGCGGGGATTTGCGCTATACAAAAGCCATCTATTACTATTATTATTATTATAAACAAAAATGCAAGGGGGTGGGTAGTGGAAGTTAAATCAGAAATAGATGATTATCTTAGACAGGTTGGCTGTTAGACAAGGCTTATTTAAAAGTTGGAGAGATAGAAAAAAAAAAAAAACCGAGGAATGGAAAGGAGTAGGACCTACCACTACCACCCTCAACCCAGGCTACCCATCATTTATTTAAATGTCAAGCCCCTTTCAAGACAATACATAATACATGTATAGCATAAGAAGAATTGTGACCTCTGAACTACGCTCAAAGGGAAGATTTTTTCGAAGAGCCAAGACAGCTGTGACAAAAATCTACCTTTGTTTTAGCTTTAGTGTGGATGTCAACAGAGAAGTCCAAAGAGGGAATCAGGATTAGCCGCTTACTCTGCTCACCTCTCTAGCCTTAACAGGACAAGGTCTGCTTCGACTATCAAGGCATCCCAGAAATAGCAGTTCACAAGAGAGGGACAATAGTACAAAAGAAGTAGAGGACAAATGGCGGTAAGGATGAGGGAAAAAACTCCCGGAAGTTGGAAATGTAGAGATGTAGATGTAGCACTCAATGACTAACTCAGCTCACTATTGGCCTTATAATATATTGAAGAAAAAGCTTCGGCAGGGATTTGACCCTCAGTCTCCCTATTGATTGAGTCTACTGTAGTTAATTGGTACATTTCCCCCCATCCACACAATTTACGTCAATGAGGAGACAAACTGTTTCAGTTTCAATTGCCAATTTGGTCTCGATTGGATACAGCATGGGTGGTTGGCGGGTGCTGTGGAGTGGTTTGCTCCTTCTTTCCAATCAAACTCCTATCGTCCTTATCTCTCCTCCTTCACTTCTGTTTACATTGTATCACTCTCTTGTAACACCTGATTGTCAGCACTAACATGACCTAATTGTGTTATAATTGCGTAAATTGCTTACTAAAGAGAAAGAAAAAAAACCCCCAAAGGACACAGCATCCGAGCAGATGGAGATTTTTTACTAATTAAATAACAGATAAAAGAGCAACAGTACAGAAGAAGTAGTAGTAGACAGTTTAAACAAAAACAAAATGTAAAAACCAGAAACAACTGTTTTTTTACATTCAGTATCATTTTAATTTTTGAAAAACAATCCATACTGGGGGCTCATTCAATTATGATCAAATATAACTTTACACCTACCAGTCATTCATGTAATCAGAACATGGCATTGGAGGAAATAAATTAAAATACAATGGAGTCTACTAAAACAAACACAGGTATTGGTAATTTGAAAATAACAGTAAACCGAAGGCAAAATCCCTGCTTTTTTTCCTTCCTTCTATAAATGAGCAACCTCTCAAAACTGAACACCTGGCTAAACCAAAGAAAATCCTGTGGTCTCCCCGCAGATTTCTGTTTGAGTGGACTCAACTGTATTAAAACGTGATATAATGATTAACAGTTATGCTTACATCCATCAGTCTCATGCTCTCATTAGCAAAAAAACAACAACAAAAAACAAAAAACCCCACAATAAAAACTCCCCATAAAGTTCCACTCTTAAAATTCTTTTCTTTACAGCGTCGGTAGGACCTCAACTTCCCATGTCAAAACAATGAATAGTCTCTCTATGGACAACTTCTAAATGCCTTTGTATAGTTTCACTCTATTTACTCATGAAACTACAGTGACACACATAAAGTGGGCACGATGTGAACATTCTAAACAGGGATAGAGCCAGTGTTTTGTTGGGGTTTTTTTTCTTTTTTGGAGGGGACGGGTTGTTCACCTCTGACAAAAAAAAATATTTAAAAATGACTACCAAAGTTTAGAATTTTTTCAGCAAGTCACCTCAACGTTACATGTCTCACTGCAGTTTCGTTTTCCACAACAATTGCATGCACCATTCATTTCTACTCAATTTGGTGTTATTTTATGCAAAAAGGTGACATAGGAGTGAAGTTTTAGGGAAGTTGGTGATGTTGAAAAAAAAAGAGGCTGCCTACAAACAAAGGCGAAATAACCTCCCGTATACTAAGAAGAGCTAATCAACAAGGCAGTAAGTGTGGTCAATCCACAGACAAAAACTTTCTTTTCCTGGCGGTGTTCATGTACGGTCGGTGTACCCACTCGTTGTCCGCTGTGCCCAGTTTGTCCAGAGTGCCGCGGACTATCTTGTACACTGCGGAGACGTACGGAAATAGACAGAGGAACATTTGTTAGTCATGAATACAAAGAGAGAGAGAGACACATTTATAGGTAATAACACAGATACAGAGAAAAACATTTGTAAGTCATATACACAAAACGAAAGAGACACATTTGTAAACAACAAACACACACAGAGAGAGAAAAACATTTGCGAGTCATATACAAAGCGAAAGAGACACATTTGTAAGCAGTTAAAACAGAAACAGAGAAAAGCATTTAATTAGTCATCAACACAGGACGACAGCCACTAATACAAACAACTTGGACAGACAAATGCAGTTCCTACGGACGCTCGAAATAACAATAATGCTGTGAACACCTCGTTCTCACTGGAAAAATAAAAGACAAAAAAATACAGGGGGTGGACCTAGAAAAACTTACTAGGAACACTTGAACAGATAGATAATGAGAACAGACAGGATAAAACAGGTTTTTTGAGAACATCAGAGCAGAAAAATGAGTGGTGAACCATAATTGTAGATGTGTCTGTTTCAGCCCTGGCACTTGAGGAAGAAACCCAAAACACCTTTACAAAAACTCAGCACAAAGGAATTTTTTAAGTTTCAGTAACAGTTTTACAGCACTTGCAAAAACAATAAGATCATATAAGTGTCGAAGATATGAGGTGTTACAAGAGTGTAACTGACATAAAAAAGAAGTAGGAGAGATCAGGATGATAATTGTTTGATAGGAAAGAAGGAGCAAACCACACCAGAGCACCCGCCAACCACCAACGGACATAGGAGCGGTGCATCAATTCAGACAAATAACGAGGTAACAGTCCAACCCACAGTAAAAGATATCAGAAGGCAAAGCTCGACTACAGAATGATCTTGGTTAGACTCCAGACGTTCACAATGAAACTATCGCTAAAAATAATAGTAAAACTACAAAATCTGATAGAGCACAACATGACTTACATTTCATTTCAAATCTCGGACCAACTTCCTTCAGCTGCAGTTCCTTCTCTTCGTATTTGTACACATGATGTCTGAGGGATAAAAAAAAAACACATGAGAACTTTGGGTCTGCCACAGATTAGGCAAAGACAACCTGAGACCTGTGGATGTTGCAACAATTAAACGTGTAAGTCTGTAAGGGGCGGCATGAACACGAGACAATTTATTTACACACCAATTTCTCCACACAAAAAAATACAAAAAATACAAAAACAAACTTTAGATAACTTTTGCTGAAGATCTAGTTTATGACAGGATTTAACAGTCAAGGCACTTTCCGTAACCAGACGACTCCAAGTGACCATTGAATAAAAGATCAACATAATTGTGTATTAACCCTATCCGTATGCCTTGGGGTCATTTTGTACCCCCCGGGTTGTACTCTTCACATTTTAGAATTCTTCTAGTATGAAGATCTCTTTGAAACTTTCAGTATTTCTCAAAAAATCATTTTGACAAACTGCTTTGCAAAGCGTACGGATCGGATTAACGAGTAAATTTTCTTCTTGGAAAGTGGTGGCACAGAGTTCCCCACATCGTATGGATACAATTGTAAAACATAACGTACGGATAGGGTTAAGGAATGTGCATAGTTTATCAAATTTCTGATAATTACGACAAATTTTCGGACAACCAGTCAATTCACAGGGGCTTTTTCGTGGCCAACAGATATTTTGGGAACAGCTAGATGACATCCACAAATCAGCGCGTGATTAATAATAATAATAATAATAATAATGAAGATCATTTCTATAGCGCCCTCTCCCGTGTAAACACAGTTCTAGGCGCTTTACATAAATGCATGTACAAACAATATTCACGCACACACACTCACATCTACTTGCTTATCACGCGCGCACTTACACATCGTTACGAAATGAGCACATACAAATACATAATAAAATAATATACACAATGCAATTCGCAAAAATACCCATAAATGGATACATGGTCATTTACATAACATTGTACTGAACATGAATCTACTGACATAAAAATGAGGTTATTAAAAATGAGTGTGATTCACATCCTCACAGTTCGGAGCTCAACAAACCTGAACGAAATGAAGTCGTCCTCGTTGCCAAAGGTCATAACCCTGCGAGAATCCTCCTTGGGAACGGGGTACAAATATCGCAGGATGTCCCTGACCCTACTCCCGAGAGCCGAGGTGAAGTTGCGGAAGATGAGGTGGGGGTAGGCCTCCGACATGGTTCCGACGTCCGGGATGTCGTGTCGCATGACGACGTTGGACAGAGTGAAGAACGCGGTCGGGCCGTACGGCAAGTGGCAGACAGTCAGGCCGTCTGAAAGAGAAACAGGAGAATAATTTTGGGCACTTGCAACAACTGTGTGAGTTAGTTTTTGTTTTTGCCACTGCATAAGGTTATATGAGTGCCAAAGGAATAACTTTGGGCGCACGAAACAAACTATTTGGTTCACAGTGTTGTGTTTTGACTTCAACACTCAATGACAAAATGAACCAGCCATTCTGAAGGTGGAGTATTGAGCAAAAGGAGCCAAATCCATATCGAGGGCTGCCAGTGCCAGGTAAACTATGGCAAGTCATGTTTTTCAAATTTTACAGGAGAGACAAAAAACAGATTTTCTGGAAGCATTTTGGGTGGATAAACTTCATTTTCATAAGGGAGCCCAATCATTAACAAAAAAACACCAAAAACTACATAATTCTGGCCAGAAAAGGAAGGGAGTCAATAGTCAAAGCAACAACACCAAAGTCAAAATTGTGCACGACGGCTACTAAAGTCGATGAAAAAAGTGGTTGTTTTATACAGGCGCACATCTTGGACAGTGTAGCTATAATGTAGAAAAAACGTAAGTAGGGTAGTGGGAACTGGTCATTTGTCCAGATGATTGTGCGGGTGGTTGGTGTTGTTTGTTCCTTCTTTCCTACCAAACATCTATCGTCCTTATCTCTCCTCCTTTTTTTGTGTCTGTTACTCTCTTGTAACACTTCAATTCTTCAGCAATTACATCACCTTATTGTGTTGTAAATGCCGTAAAACTTACGAAAAAAACCAAACCCAGATGATTTTCTGAGAAAAGTGGCCGTTAGAGTAGGTTCGACTATTACGCTTTCCAAAACAATTTGACGTAGATAACCTGTCGGCCTATGCTGTACTAAACCTGGCTCAAAGAGCCTGGCAACTGTAAAAGAACCTGACCGACTCACCTGGCACACCACGATGCTCCTGCACGACTACAACATCTGTAATATCATTGGCTCGGCACGCATCCATCAGTTGTTCCAGACGGTAGTTACCACGGTTGATCCTCTGAGAGTTGGGCAGGATGAGCTTCATTTCCTGTACATGAAAAAAAATTTTTTTTAATGAGGAAAATGAAAAAGATATGCAGTGACAACAGTGCAATATTCTGTCCCCGAGGTTTTATGCACCCCGCATAATTTTGCAAAATCTGATCATTTTTTGCATAATTTCTGATTATTTTCTTTTATCAGTCTTTGTTAAAATTAACAGAATCCCATAATTTCACATTTTTGGACTCATTTTGCATAATTTCAGAATTTTTATTGCATAAAAGGACGGGGACAGAATATTACTAAATTAAAGACCATTCCAACAGATACTAACTTGAACAGATCTAAATGATAGAACAGCATCCCAGTAATTCATACACAACTTCCAAATAAATCTCTACTGTACAGATTAACACACAAACAAACAACAAATGTAAAAAAGGGACATTTAATGAACAAATGTTACATGAAATACAAGCGGCTGCTGGAAACTGAACAAAGGAAATTTCCAAAGGGGGTGTCTGGTTCGCACCAAGAACATCAGGCTGAGCAAAATAAATTCCCAAAAACATTCTAATTTTTAAAAAAAACGTAAACAAATTTGGAACCTATATATATTTAAGTTCCCAACTTCAAGGGTAAGATTACTGGGACAAAAAAAAAGAGAGCAAGAAAAGATACAAAGAGCACAAGGCAAAGAAATAGAGAATGAAGAAAATGGACATATAAATTAGATATACCAAAAGAAAAAAAATGTGGCTCAAACCTTTGCGAACTGCTTCAACTTGGAACTAGGGTCTCTCGCGGTGGTGATCATGATCTTGGGATCCTCCACCCCCGCCCAGCGGTACTCATCATCCACGCTGGTCGTTAAGCCTGCGCGCACACAGCACAACAGAGAGGTTCATTTTTTGTAAGTGTTTTACTCCACTTGCAACACAATAAGATCATATAACTGCCAAAGATTAAGTTTTACAAGAGAGTAACAAACAAAAAAGAAGGGGGGGGGGGGGGGGGGGTTAGTTTTAGTTATAGTAAGAGTTTTAGCGCACTTGCAACACAATAAGGTCATATAAGTGCCGAATATTAGAGGTGTTACAAGAGAGAAACAAACATAAAAGGAGGGGAGATAAATGATGGATGTTTGATAGGAAAAAAGAAGCAAACCACACTAGAACATCCGCCAACCACCCACAAGAGAGGAATTATTTCAACACATCATCATTAAGTAAGAGAAAGTGTTTTTAGTTTAGTAAGGTTCTACAGCGCTCACAACTGCATAAGGTCATATATGAGCGCCAAAGGGCGGATATCAACAGAGAAGTCCAAACAGGGAACCAGGCTTACTCTGCTCACCTCTCTAGCCTCAACAGCACAAAGTCTGCCTAGACTATCAAGGCACCCCGGAAATAGTAGTTCACAAGAGAGTGACAAACATACCAAAGAAGTAGAGGAAAAATGATGATAGTAAGAATGAGGAAAGAAAAAGCAGCAGAGAAAGATTCTGGTCAATCCCTGTGTTTCTCCAGAAGACTGCACAGGAAATGACATTGCTACAAAAGACTAAAAGACTGCTTGATATTAATATGGAGTTGACGCTTGTATTCAAGTGCAAAGGCATATATTTTAAGAAGAGACTCACTATACAGAATGTAGAGTACCTTTAAAAGAGAGTTGAGAATTGGGGGGGGGGGGGGGGGGAGAAAGATGGAGGAGAGAGATGAAATGTTACAAGAAAAGAGAGAGAGAGGGGGGGGGGGGGGAAATAGAATAGAGAAAGAAAGAAGTTGAAAGGCAAAAGAAAGTTCAAGAGAGAGACAAAGTCTGGGGAAAACGCCAATTGATGCCCTCTTCTTCAACTTCAGAGTTGCAAATGAATGCTTCACCTGATCCACTTTCATTGACAACATCCATTTTACTGTCATTGAGCCAGCCCTTGATGATGGTAGGAATATAATCAAAGACACCTCCCTCCCACACACACACATATAATATATTAACAAAACAAAATGAATATATGTGTAATTTTGACAAGCTGTAGTCAACTGAAAACTCACCATCAGCTCCTTCATCTTCCCAGTTCAGATTTTTCTGCAGTCCTACAGCAGTCTTCTTCAAACTGGTGGGAATCTGTTTGTTCTCTGAGAAAAGAAAACAAACCATGTTGTATACGAAAAACAAAACTTAACCTTTAACCCTTCTATCCGTACGTCGTGTTTTACTATCGTATCCATTCAACGCAGGGAACTCTGTACCACCACTTTCTAAAGAGGAAATTTACTTGTAAATCCGATCCGTACGCTTTGCATAGCAGTCTGTCAAAATGACTTTTGAGAAATACTGAAAGTTTAAAAGAGATCTTCGTACTACAAGTATTCTAAAATGTGAAGAATACAACCCCCGGGGTACAAAATGACCCCAGGGCATACGGACAGGGTTAAACTACTATTGTCAAATTTATTAAGTACCAATTATGCACACCTTTCCAAATAAACTTTACTAATTACTAGGCAAGTTGAGCATTGATTTTTAACTGAGACATTCTTCATAAGCTGCAAATCCTGATCAAGCATACTTTTCCAAGTGAATCTTTGAAAACATTTATGGGATTGGAAAAATCCTCCATAAAAATTCAATTTTGAAAGCACCCACCATAACAAACTTACCATAAACAGGAATAAGTTTTGGATGTACAATCAGAACATGATACATACTCAATAGAAAGAAAACTTACCATCTATAGCCGTTCTCAGCTTCTCTTTTTTTTCTTGAATGTTTTTGTCCCGTTCTTCAATAGTCTTTCTGTAAATGTACTCTCTGCGGAGACGAGCTTGCCGACGCAACTAGTCCAGAGAAGAAAAAAATATAAATTTCAATTAAAAAATTTTTTAAATACCACAAGACCTTAATTTTTTAAAATTTAAATAACATGATACAGTTGAACATGACTATACTATAGCGATACTTGTAGCTCAAAAAAAAAATCCCACTGTTGGCAAATTCCTGCTATTATAAGAAAGGGGAATTACCAAAAAAATTCTTTTAAAATCCACATTTCCTTCTGTCTTTGACGGAAGCCATCTTTTCCTCAGTCTAATTGTTGCTTGTTGTCTCGCACCGGTAAGCCTGGTAGAACCGGTGAAGTAGATGCGGGCACATGCTAGAGCATCAACGATCGCAATTCAATGAACCAGGAATCACACACTACACACTCTCCTCTTCTTTTACTTTTTGGACTAGAATCTAGATCAAGATCTATACACAGTACTGTGAACTCGGATTCAAAGAAGTCGGGCCTGACCTTCAATTTCGTTGAATCTGAGGGTTCATTATATTATAGCCAGCATGATGATTAATGATTTTGTGTAGACAGGCCTCCTAATTACAGGCACTGAGCAAGTTCTGTATACCCTAAATGTTTTCGACTCCCTCAATCCCTCAATTAGCCAAATTAATTCAAAGGTAGTTTGGTTTCAAATGGGAGGATGAAGGCAACACTGGATGACAAAAACTGAGTTTTGGCGATTGTTAAGATTCCCGCGTTTAATTCCGATGTGCATTTTTCATACCCTCTGGCATATTTCGCTTTGGTCCCTAACCTTAACCCTAACCCTAACCCTAACCTAGGGTTAGGGACCAAAGCGAAATATGCCTAAGGGTATGAAAAACGCACATCGGAATTAAACGTGGGAATCTTAACAATCGCCGAGTTTTGAACTGTCCGGTTACCGTGTGTACATAACACTGAGACTACGTGCCCGTTTGCCAGTTACCGTGTCGATAGATATTGAGGCTAAATGCCCGGTTACCATGTACATGGTACTGAGACTACATGCCCAGTTGCCGGTTACCATGTAGGCCTACGTAGACTGTAGACACTGACGCTAGGTGCCAGGTTACAGTGTAGTGTGGGCCTACGTAGACACTGTTTGAAGTTTCATATTTCATAATGAATTTGTAGTGTGTAGGCCTAGGTCTAGTCTCATGTTACTATTAAACATTAAAGCTTAGGACTAGAGCCTAAATTAATACTTAAACTAAAGAATCATAGTCTTTCTATGTCAATAAAAATTCTTAAATTGTCTGAACTGTCAGTCATGTTGACATGTTGACAATTGATAGATGCCGATAGATGGGCAACTCACAGACGTCAGTCACGTAGACTCTACTTACCATTTTGAACAGCCAAAATTTCTGATACCTAATGAAACAAAAGCAACACAACAGCTAAACAATATAGCACGAGTTCAATCAACAGTCCTCGCTATTTAATCATTATTTTTCAAGCAAAATATTCTAGTAAACGTTCACTCGATCTACAACGTCCACACGTGTTATTGTTGTTGGTTGGCCACATGAAATGGCCAGTTGCTGAATTTATTTAAGCGTGATATGTCAAATTGAAAGGCTGAAAAAATCAAGAAGAGCTGATCTTATCCAGAAATAATGGAAAAGTAGGTCTTATAAGAAGGTTTTAATCATCGCTGTAATTTTCTTTATGATAGAAAGTGCAGTAACGTAAAATCCCCGGTATCTTTCTCGTCAGAGCCAGAAACCTGACAATGTTAATAATAGGCTCATGAAATTGATCAGGCTAATCGCCAGAGCACTGACATCTTATCAGGCAATCTAATATCCGGAAGTGAGGAAAAGACAACACTGACTGCTGTCGACTGCTCTACTGCTCTCTGTAGGCCTTAGTAATCAATTTTGTTTACAGTTTATAGCTTTGTTTTTTTCTTTGAGCCTTGAGCTGATGAATGAATAAAAAAAGGAACGAAACCATTGTAAGACCCAGTGCATTTTACATTGTTCTTCGTTCTTCCACTAGTTTTTTCAAGGTAATCAGACGATTTTTACAGGGATCATCATCAAGTGCCAGTGAAGTGCAATATATATCTGCGACAGACATCATTCAGCGAACCCCCGCCCCCGGGGCAGTGCCACTGTGTAGTCTGTAGTGTCTTGACTTTAGGAAGGCCATTCCCAAATGGGGGGACATATCTCGTTCAAGCATAGTTGAATTGTAAATGGGCTGACTCTTGTCACGCTCATAACTGTGCCTGATCTACAACAGGGAACTACTGCTTTTTCTTTCCTGATCCTTACTATTGACATTGTCATTTTCCTCTACTTCTTTTTTTGAATGTTTGTCACTCTCTTGTGACTTCTGCTATTTCCCGGGTGCCTTGATAGTCGAAGCAGACTTTGTGCTGTTGAAGCTAGAGAGGTGAGCAGTTCAAGTCTGATTCCCTGTAAAGACTCCTCTATTGACACCCACCCCTTGGCGCTCAATATGACCTATGCAGTTGCGAGCGCCGTAAAACCCTCTAGTCTAGATCTTATTTTCAAAACAAAAAAAGAAAGACATCTGCGATCATGGCTCTCCATTTATTTCTTTACTAGATTAGTAGATTCTAGATCCTGATCCTAGATCTAGATCTAATATCTACTTTTCTTTCAGGGATCTTACAAATGGATTTTGAAAATGATTTTGTCTCAAAAGCTCCCCTCTCTATTCTACTATCTTGTTGTACCGTGTGCCCATTGGGGATAGGATCGGGTCGTGTTGGGTCGGGTTGATCACCCAGCTTGTCGCCTGAATACAAATTGTTTGTTTTTGAGACAACGGATCGGGTGATCGGTTTGTGCCACCATAGTGTCGATAGCCGCTTTGCGCCCAAATTAATCTGGCTAGAAAACTGACGTGACCCAGGAAGGACTTCCGTAACGAGCGACCACCCCATCAAACACAATAAAGAAGATGCCTAACCCTAACCCTAACCCTACCCCTACCCGTAGATCTACTTCTAACCCTCATTTCTGCTCTGTCTCAAAGTGGTCGCTCGTTATGACGGAAGTCCTCCCGTGACCCGACCCAATCGTGCCATGGGCACGAGGTTTTAGGCCACAAGAGTAATATTAAGAAAAAAATGAAAAATATAATATAGGCTATAGTTCAGCTCCTGGTCCAAAGACTGGTCCAACAACCTCTAAAGCTATAATAATAGAAGGCCTTAGAAGTACGTCTAGATCTAGAGATATATAGATTCTGTGCCTAGGCTGATTGTTTTTTGTTATATTTTTGTTGCTTAGATCTATTTATAAACTATTATTTTTATAATATCTGTTGACTACAGGTAGCTTTTATGACAACTTGACATGAGGGACTTAATGAACTTTGGACGTTTGAGGCGCTACTGGCTGGTCGTTCTCTCGATGGCTCTTCTCCTTATCATCGTCCTCTACTATGCAATGTATGACAGGCCCACCCCAGCTCTTGTCAATCGGACATCGAGCAACAAAACTGCACCTCGGCCTAAACCTGCATCTCGAGCGTACAGCCAATGGCCCCCCTTTGAACTGGAGCTTGTCAGTCCTGTGAGTGTTAGATTGTACGAAATTTTTCTCTATTGTTGGTTGCTTATATTGGAATATCTCCTGATCCTAACTTTTTGTTATAATATAATGTAATACTATTCAGTCTTTTTCTCTTGTTGGTTGCTTATAATAGAATATCTCCTAATCTTAACTTTTTATTATATAATGTAGTATTATTCAGTCCACATCGTCTTTGCTAAACCTTCCCCCCCCCCCCCCTTCCATCTCCTCTTTATAATTAGTATTTTAGTAGCCCCTATTAATTCCCCCCCCCCCTCCCCATCTTAACAGTGATGAATCTTCACAATGCAAGTACTGGCTAAGACAGATTGTCCTAACTCCAATGGCTGTGGGTGGGCTTGTTTTGACGCATTTCCATCTTGTTTCCCGACAGGAGCTGTTCCGGGAGAAGTGTGTGACCACCAGTAGCAACTTTTCTATCGCTCACTTGGCCGACATTCTGTCCGAGTGGAGACGATCTGTCCACCCAAACTGCAGGTAGGCGATGTCTCAGCACAAAGTGGGTTACCTAGAGCTGCTACTGTGCACTGGATATTGTCTAATTATAACTTATTGCTACATTTTTACTGGGGTTTTTTAAACGTTTTGCACCATTATCTATGTCTTACATATGGGTTTAAATCTTTTGTCTGTTCTAGATTGTTTGTGTTTGTGCATGCTGCTAATAAATCGTGCTTTCTTGTCGTGTATCTCCATTTTTTTAACCGTGAAAATGTGACTTCTTCTTCAGCTCACTCTTCTTTATGAACTGTTTCCACTGTTATTAAAAATGGAGATACTTCAAGACAGCACTGAGGTCACGAAATGGTTAGAATGAGACATTGTATATATATTTGAAGCCACCAAAACTTATTAAATTTGTTTTCGTTTTCTTTTCAGCTTGTCTTTCTCAGTACTTTTGAGTGTTGTTTTTTCTTCCTTTTAATCGTTCTTACTTATTAAGATTTGTAATTGTTTGTGCTGAAATTTGAATATTCAGCTTCATATAGGTAAAATCAAGTCTTCGCATGGGACAGAAAAGCACATTTAAGCTGAGCTTACAGTTGTCAGCATTCCAATTAATGAGGTGCTGTAATAATGATGTGTTCTGAACTTTTTATGGATTTTTTTTCTTTTTTGCACTTTGTTGTTGTCACTTTTGAAACTCATATAAAACAGCTGCATGAGTTCTGTATTGTAATCATTTGTTTCTTAAGTCTTCGTTATATATTTGGTTTATTGTGAGGTTTGGAGGTTGTGGGGGGAGGGGGGGGTGTTATTTGTTTTATGTTTCCCAATGTTTGATGTGCTCAGCGGGAGGAATGGAGTGAGTGATTTCAGGCATTTTCTTTTTGATAGATACAGGGATCATCGTACCCATAAACTATCTAGTTTATATAAAAAGGGATTAAGAGTTCAATTTGAAGTTGATAGTAAAAGTTTATACTGTCTTTGTTTTTTGCCTATCTTTCTGTTTGTGGCTGAATATATTTATAATATTATAATATATGTACCTGTAAATGCACCATGCGATAAAAGTTCTTAAGTTGTTATGTGTTTTAAGCCTAAATGCACAATAATAATTTCACAAAATCAGAGCTAATAATTAATTTCGTGAGAGGGGTAGAGAGTCAATGTTGTGAAATGTGTGTCTTTCCTTTGATGTTTTTGCACCTAGCTCATTGATGATGGTCATCTCAAAGGTAGGAAATAGCCTGATGTATTTAATTTACAGCAGTTTTACTTTAACATAGAGCGACTGTTGTAGAAATGTTGTCTTGTGAACGTGAGTGAGCAGCCATTGTTCTGTCCCCCGTCGTTTTATGCAAGAAAAATTCTGAAATCGTGCAAACTGAGCCCTAAAATGTGGAAATTATGCGATTCTGTTAATTTTAACAAAGAATGATAAAGGAAAATAATAAGAAATTGTGCTAAAAATGATCAAATTTTGCTAAATTATGCGGGGTGCATAAAACCACGGGGACAGATTGTTCTGGTTATTCTGTTCTTGTGTTTTTATTTTTGAATGTGGTGGTGCTACTTCTCAGGTCACAGGCTCCAGTAGAGGGTGAGATTTCTCCAGTTTTCTGTGACCGTAGGAGGGCCACACTCCTCATATAACAATATATATATATATCCTACTTGCACTGCATTTCAGGGATGGAGCTTTTCTGATTTTTCCCCAGAGTTAATGGGGTTTTTTTTATCTCCAGGGAAATTATGTGTGGGGGGAAAAAACTAAATAGGGAAAGACAGAGTAGGTTATATGAATGGCTTTGTGACAAATTGTCTTTATCCAAATAGCTAGAAGCACAGAAAAATGGTGATTTTATTTTTATTCTTAATATTCGTACTTTCAGAAGAAAAAAAAGCAAACGAAAACAGTGATAATAAATCAATAGGTGCAGCATTCTGTGTGACAAAAACTTTTAGAAGCAATAGAAATCCAGGAGAAAAAAGTGCAAAAGTTTCAAAATTGGAGGTAACCTTTTTTTGTCACTAAGCCTTTCAAATGCAGTTGGGGTTTTTTTTTTCTTAATTACTGCTATGTTTGTGGAACTATGTGTTCACTTTCTAGTAATGTAAGTTAACGTTGAGGTTCACCCCAAAAAAGAGGAAGTTTTGTTTTTCTAAAGCTTTTCTCAACCCCCTGCATCCCAGACCTATGCCTTGAACCTGACAATTTTTTAAACTTTTAGCTTTGCCTTCTGTTAGAGATGCCAGTTCCATCCCTGATTGCAACTACTGTACCGGATTTGCTTGTAACTACCATAACTTGTCCACACTACTGTTGCTACTACTAGCCTGTTGATTTTTGAACATGAGACTCACATCACATACTGACAGATTCACCCTCTAAAATCCTCTTGTGCTTGTACAGTGTTTGGAATGGCATTTTATTTGTTTTTGCTGCCCCCCCCCCCCTTCCCATGTGGATAAAATCAAGGCTTATAAAGTCGTCTGGTCCATTTTCTCTGTCTAGGTGAATTTTTCATTTTTCTCCTTCTCGTGCGCTGTAAGGTCACTTAATTTTTATATTTTGTATGGTACCTTTTTTTGGTACAGAGATAATGTAAATCACTGTAAAGTGAAAGATATGTTTGAAAATTATTATAATCGACTATGGTTTTGGGCCTACTCTTTTATCTCCATTTAATACATACGCTTTTAGAGGGAGTAGAGGGTGCTTTTTATTAATTATGTAATTTTTAAAAACATTTTGTTTTTGTTTTTTACTTAGTATGGATTGCACTCCCTGGGAAAGGATAGTTGTGACAGCTACATGGAGACACACCACCATCTTGAATTTTCGTTTCATCGTCCATGGCAAAAGTTACTAATTTGTCCTATGCCCTACAGCCTTCATTTCCTTTCAACCAACAGCTCTTCTTCACACCCCCCCCCCAACTTTTCTCTTTCTCCTCCCCTCCCACAACCTCCCCCAGACCCCCCCCCTCCCTCCCCCAACTCCCTTTTCGTTATTTTCTGATCCCATGCACTTTATAGAATAGATGCTATGGGTGACTTAAGTACAACACCAACTTTGCTCCAAAGTTACCAGTTAATAACATATCTCTGAACTCATACAATTTCACAGTATAGAGATACTGAGGTGAATGTTTCATATTGCTGAACAAAATTTTTTACAGCACAGACACTTGCACTTTCAAAATCATCAATGCCTTTCACCCCTGGCAGGGTATAGGCCACATACAAATTTCCTTCCTTTGATCTCTGTCCTGAACCATCCTTCCAAGCTCGTTCCAAGTGAGCCTCATCTCTCTCATGTCCCTTTCCACACAGTCATCTCTTCCTTGTTTATCGGTACTTTACAGTACAAATAATTCTTGCTTCTGCTATATGGGCTTGCTCACGTCTGATTGGATGGAAAATTATCTTTACATGACATGTACTAGCAGAATTGCGGGTGCTACTATATTTGGTCGCCTTTAAGCACAAGGGGGCTATCCCGAAAAACGAGGTTTTGAGAAAATCGAAGGTAAAGGTTTTGCCCCTTGTTCAGTTTCTTTAAAAGACAAGGAGAGTTTTCTCTATAACCAAACAAATATACACACCTATGAAACCAAATTTCTCCAATAGGTAGGGCAAAGCCCACTTTTGGTGTTGATCAAGATTTCTGGAACCCCCCGAAATCTGGGTTAGCCCGCTTGTCCTTAAAAGCGACCATTTGAGCTCCACTTAAATCATACTTTATGTACTCACTCTTAAGTAAGGAAGTCTAGACACACTCCTGAGTTCACTTACTTGATCATTACTTTCCCTTGCTCCCTTCTCTTCTCCTCTTTTTTACTCTGCGAACGGAGTGACAATTTTTTTCGCAGGACTTTTTTCATTTTTTATGCGTACATATTTTGTCAAAAGCCTTTTTCATTAGTCTCAAATGACTTTTATGGGATAAATTTGTTTTAAGATTTAGTCACTGGTTTTCTGTCTTGCAACAGACACAGTTTTAGATTTTTAAAATTTATATTTTTGGGGAAAAATATGAAGTAATATCTTTTAAATTTTTTTTATTTATGACACTGACACTGAGTATACAATGACTGTGAATATGCAAAATGGAAGGGATTAACCCTTTCATCTCCATGCTTCCTCTGTAATTTTGCTACTTAGTTTGAGACTTCAAGACACGGAGGTAGAGATTGAGTTTATTAAACTCATGGGCTTGAAAATTTTTCATATTTGAAATTAAACTTTTATCAAGAATTATTTTAATATTTTGGGTGCTTGAAACTGGATTGCTATCTCTTAGTAACGTCAGTTTTGACATGTTCTATACGTATATGTCTTTGAAAGTACACCCGTCTGTCTGATTTCCTTACACATATGAAGAGCACGGGGGAAAAACGACTGTAGTCACAAACTGGAAATTGTGAGGGTGTCAATTTTAAGAGCATGTTGACTCATAACTCCATATTTGTTTGACTGGTGGTTTATTGTTGAAGTGTTGTTGAATGGGAAATCTAACAACAATAATCAACCAACAGTTGAACAGAAATACAGTTATGAGTCAGCAAGCATTCTAAATTGGTACCCTCATGATTTTCAGTTTGTGACTACCGTCGCTTTTCCCTCTGTAGTCTTCATATGTTTCAAGTTCAAGGCTGAACCTGACTCTAACACATAGGCTTGCTACTAATACACAGAGAGCACACTAGACTGTCACATACTTACACACGACACCGAAGACTGAATGATACTCCTGACCACACCCACTCACTTCACCACTTCGGTGGCGTCGGTGGACTAGTGGTTAGGCTCTGGGACTCGCAACCGTAAGGTCGTGGGTTCGAATCCCGTCAAGGGCCCGACGTTGTGTCCTTGGGAAAGGCACTTTACACGAATTTTCCTCACTTCACCCAGGTGGGAATGGGTACCCGGCTATAGACAGCGAAAGATCTTGTCAATTTGTTAGTGTTTGAGCGCTTAATCAGCTGCTTGCACTGTATGCTTCCCGGGAAGCTGAGAATGTTTCGAAGTGTTCTATAGTATAGTGTAAAGCGCATAGAGCCTGCTGTTGAGCGGGGATATGCTCTACACAAATACTATCTATTATTATTATTCACTCATGCTTTTACTCATGGTTTGAAGGTGCCACTGGAAGATTTTACGTCTTTTTATTCTCTCTCTGTCTCTCTCTCTCTCTGTCTCTCTGTCTCTCTGTCTCTGTCTCTGTCTCTCTCTCTCTCTCTCTCTCTCTCTCTCTCTCTCTCTCTCTCTCTCTCTTTCTTTATCTCTATCATTCTATCTGTCTATCTCGCTGCCTGTTTGCTTGTTACTTGTGTCTGTCAGTGTCCGTCCAGCTTTTTCTGAAGAGTGGTTTGTTGGTAGGTGCTCTGGTGTATTTTGCTTCTTCTTTCCTATCAAACATTTATCGTCCTTATCTCTCCTCCTTCTTTTTTGTGTTTGTTACTCTCTTGTAACACCTCTAATCTTCAGCACTTATATAACCTTACTGTGTTGCAAGTGCTGTAAAACACTTTACTAAAACTAAAAAAAGCTTTTTCTCAACACTAAATGACCATTATTGTGACAAGGATTTCTCTTTCCTCCAGCTACAAATCTTGTTTATGTAGTTTGTGAAAACTGTCTTGTATGGGATAACACTGTAGCGTAGATTGACTCTAAGATGACAATAATTGACTCTAAAGACGGCGATAACATTTTCAATAGTCACTCCTCCCCGCCGCCCCCACTCCCCACTGTGAGATGATACCAATAACTCCACATACCCCCCCCCCCCCCCCCGAAAAAAAAGCAAGTTTCACACATGCTCATACTCATATATACACATAGAATTTTGTACAATCAATCAAACATTTTTTTGTAACCTTCTCAATGACTAGTTAGAGGGTGCCTCTTATTCATTCTATTATTTTACTGCTCTTCTTTTCCGTCTGTCTTTTGTCTGTCTGTCTTTCCTGTTTTTTCTCATCTTTCCTGGGGGTTTTTCCCATTGGTCCTGTTTTTTCCCAGCGCTAAATGACGTGTATGCTTCCCGGGAAGCTGAGAATGTTTCGGAGTGTTCTATGGTCTGCTGGGGTAATAATATAGTGTAAAGCGCATAGAGCCTGCTGCTGAGCGGGGATATGCGCTATACAAATGCTATCTATTATTATTATTATTATTATTACTATCCTGTCAAACAGAAGAAATGCTTAACCCTATCCGTACGCCTGGGGTCATTGTATACCCCCGGGGTTCTATTCCTCTCAATTTAGAATACTTCTAGTACGAGATCTCTTTGAAACTTTCAGTATTTCTCAAAACATCATTTTGACAGACTGCTATGCAAAGCGTACAGATTGGATTAACAAGTAAGTTTCCTCTTTGAAAAGTTCCCCACGTCGTATGGATACGATAGTAAAACTTGACATACAGATAGGGTTAAGCTCTGCCGTAGAAACGTTGTGTAACCCAAACTGTGCCGTGTGCTGTGCCACAGGGAGTTGTACCAAAAGTTCTCTGCGATCTACACGGTGGAGCGACGGGTGGGCAGCGTGGTGATCCCCGGCACGTTCAAGGCCAAGGTTCAAGCCTGGCTGGGGCAGCGAGAGGAGCTGTATCAGGAACTGTTTCATCAGGTGCTGACCATTGGTCTGTCTGTGTGTGTGTGTGTGTGTGTGTCTGTCTGTCTGTCTGTCTGTCTGTCTGTGTGTGTGTGTGTCTGTCTGTCTGTCTGTCTGTATGTGTGTGTGTGTGTGTGTGTCTGTCTGTCTGTCTGTGTGTCTGTTTATCAGTCTCTCTCTCTCTCTTTCTCTCTCTCTCTCTCTCTCTCTCTCTCTCTCTCTCTCTCTCTCTCTCTCTCTCTCTCCTCTCTTGCTCTCTCTCTCTTGCTCTCTCTCTCTTGAAAGAGTTGACAACTTTTTTTCATAGCAGCTGTCAGCACACCGTTCACAGTCATTTACCATCAATCACAGCAACCCTATCTCATTAAGTGGGTGGTTGGCGGGTGCTCTGGTGGGGTTTGTTTCTTCTTTCCTATCAAACATATACCATCCTTATCTGTCTTTCTTCTTTTTTGTGTTTGTTACTCTCTTGTAACACCTCTAATCTTCGGCACTTATATGACCTTATTGTGTTGCAAGTGCTGTAAAACACTTACTAAACCTAAATGACATGTTGTTTCATTGCGTTTTGTAACAGGACATCATTCATGTGATCAACCAGTACACAAGAGAGACAACTATATTCAACCCTCTACGTGATAAACGACCGGTGACCAAGCCGAAAGAGTCGGAGAAAGATTAGTAAGTCAAACATCTTTGGGGTTGTTTTTTTTGTTTTTGTTTTTATTATTTGATTTAGAGGGAGGTGGGATTTAAAGTTTATTTTGCAGAATGTCAAAGTAGGATTGAAATACTAGTTTTTGGAGAGCACCACTTAATACTACTTTTTTTTTTCCTTCTTTTTTTTTGCTGCCGTCTGTCTTTCATCATTTCTCTCTGTACTGCAAATGCATCATGTTACTTGGTCTGTCTTTTCTCTCCTCTCCAAACTCAAAGTCTCTGAGGATGAGGCTGCAAATTATTCTAGATGTTAAAACACATACCAGCGTTCATATGACCTTATACAGCTTCATGCGCCGTAAAACCTCTACAACCCCCCCCCCCCCATAATAGTAAAACATTTTCAAGTTACTACTCGTATTGTTTTCAAAATTTTTCTGTTCAACACATTATATTTATGGTAATTTTATTATTTGCAAGTGAAACTAATTTTGTTTCACAATATTTGGTGATCACAGATTTTTTTAACTCAAAAAGAGATTTCATTTTTTTTTCAAATTTATACCTCATTATCTTATAGCTCTCAATGTTAGGCCACAGCATTATTTCGGTTGCTACACTCTTGGTTATGGTGTAGATGACCTTGGTTTGAATCCCTAATGAGTGATGAATTTTGAATCTTTTTTGTTTGGGGGAGTTTTTGAGGCTCAGCACCTGTTGATGATGGATTTAAAACTCAGAGATCATTGCTCTTTAAAAACCTTACAGTGCTGAGAAAGGCCTTAGACGAGGCTCAGTCATCTGTCTTAATCTTAGTTAAGATAATGCGCTTTCAAGTACCGTGGAGTCCACTTAGGCCAGACATTGTTAATCTAAAAACAGCGGTAAAGAGTTACAAAATAAAGTCCCAATTTTTTTTTTCTATTTGAGCAACCTCTCTAAACTGAATATACTGCTAAGTCGAAGAAAATCCTGCGTTCCGGCAGATTTCAGCTTAAGTTGACACTCTAGTTCTATGTACAGTGTAATATGGATAAGTCGAACACAGAAGACTCGAAATCACACATCCGTCGAACTGTGCCTGTGGTCCTGGGGGTTTTTTTCTTCCTACTTTATCTTTGTTAGATATCCCTCAAACTTTGGATCCCTTGAACTACCGAGGCCGGTCCCGACGAACTCAAGCTATCCTTGTTATATTGCATATATTGCAGTACAATTGTACAGTGCAGTTCTATCTGAATATCGCTGTTTCTGAATGACACCCTAAATGTGTAGGCCTATAATATATAAATATGTCCTACTTGTGTCCACAGCTTGCAAAGAATCACCAAAGAGTCAGCCATGAACTGTGATTTCTGCAGATTCAGGAAGTGAGTGCATTTTCCTGCTTATTTCACTGTCATGGATTGGTTTATTGTATGTTTTATTCAGTGAATTTCAAAACTAGCATTCTGTATATATAGATCTTACTAAACTTTACGAAACAATTGATTATTTTTCTTAAAGTCTGATAGGAAGTAAGTTTGTGCTTAAGGAAAGTCAGTGTGTTGTTTAGTGCCACAATGCTTTGCATTTGAGCCTTTGCCAATAGGTGGGGATTTCTTCATATACCTTACAAAATCCTTTCTAATTCCAATAAAAATGGTGCTACAGCTTTGAAAATTGTATATGTTGTGCTTAATATGATGTTTCAGCTATGGGAGCAGAGAAAGAGCTGTCGGGCCATCAGAAGAAATCTTACAAAATATTTTTAGTTCTGAAATCGATGTATTTTTAGAATGCAAAACATGACACATCGAGTTTGTACTTTTTCTGTCGTCAAGTTCAACCATGAAATAATTGCTGAGAAGCTCGTCCTTCTACGCTTAGAACCACAATGCTTTGTATTTGAGAAAAGTATTAAAATATTTGTATTTACACAAATACACATAACATATCCTAACACACACAAACAGACCCACAGTCACACACATATGACATAAATGAACAACTGTTAATAGTAATGTTTACACTAGACACATAACCAATATTCTGATTGTACAGAACATGACGCGACCTCAGTGCTGTTTTGTCTTATCTCCATTTTTAATAACAGTGAAAACAGTTCAAAACAAAGAGTGAGTTTAACCCTATCCGTACGTCGTGTTTTACTATCGTATCCATACGACGTGGGGAACTCTGTTCCACCACTTTCCAAAGAGGAAATTTACTCGTTAATCCGATCCGTACGCTTTGCATAGCAATCTGTCAAAATGATTTTTTTGAAAAAAACTGAAAGTTTCAAAGAGATCTTTGCTCTAGAAGTATTCTAAAATGGGAAGAATACAACCCCTGGGGTACAAAAGGACCCCAGGCGTATGGATAGGATTAAAAAGAAGTCACATTGTCAATGTTTAAAAAAAATGGAGATAGGACAAGAAAGCACTGAGGTCATCGCAATGAGGTACCAACTACCAGCACTGCTTTTGTCTTCCCCCCCCCCCCCCCCCCCCCCCAGCTTCACGGCGGAGCACGACTTTGGCCGCGTGGAGACAGATCTCTCGTTCTCCGCCTCCAACATCTTCAAGCTGGACAGGCTTCACGCGGTGATCACCATCAAGGCTCACGACCCGGTCAACTGGAGCTACCAGCAGTACATGGACATGATGAGGCTGACCATGGTGTGGTCAGTGAAGACTTTTCACCATAATATTGATAATATAATAAATAGCATTTGTATAACGCTTGTCCCCACTCGAAAGCAAGCTCTATGCGCTTGACACTATATTATTTTATGATATTATAGTTCTTCATATGTTGTCAGGCCCTCTAATATAGCATTCTTCCATCTTAACCATCTTGTTACAAGTATTCATATGACTTTAGAGCATGCATCAGAATAACATTGAGTTACAGTCAGAATACTGAGTGTGTATCTAGCTTAAGATTATTGTTGTGTACAGTTGTTCACATGTTGTCAAGTCCCCTAAGTCAGATTTCTCCACCAGATTTGGTCTCATCGGCTACTGCAGAGGCCATACGTCATCTTATCCCAAATTTCTTCTGTTTTCACTTAAGAATCGGAAACTGACATATTAACTATTGATTATTATCAAAAAGTCTTTAAGCTCTGATCTCTTGAGTGAGGAATGATATGACCCTCCTGTACAGTGCGATTTCGATATAATTACTTGGGACTGGTTTAACTCAGAAAAATTATCATACATAAGATATAATATTTAATGCTTTTGTTTCCCTTTCAGGCTGAAAAAGGCCCATCATGCTGAGCCGTCCGCTGTGTTTCCCTCTTTGATTTGGGACCTTCTGCCTAAGTCGGGCTCCAGTCAGCTACACCCTCACAACCAGATCTTTCTGAGTCCTAACCGTTACCACGGTGAGTGATTCTCACTGTTTTGTCCTGACCACTTTGGAAGTTTTCATGGTTACCATGGTGACAGGGCTTCCTCATTTGGGTGGTTGGTGGGTGCTTTGGTGTGGTTAGCTCCTTCTTTCCTTTCATACATCTGTCGTCTTTTCTCTTTCTTTTCTTTGTATGTTACTCTCTAGTAACATTTCTAATCTTCAGCACTTACCCGTTATAACCTATTTATGTTGCAAATGCATAAAACCTTTGCTAAAACTTTTTTTAAAAGGCTCCCTCAATCCATGACTAATATACTGAAACATGATGATCTCACAATTTCTGGTTGGGGGGGGGGGGGGGGGGATTCTGGATCAATAACAACAACTGGGGGGAGGGGGGGGAAGGAGAGGACTTTTAAAAAAATGACAGTGAATCAGTTACTGTCTGACATTCCTGTTGCTTTATTTATTGATCATAGTTTTACTTTATTTTACTTTACTTTATTTTCCTTTTCCCTTCTCTTTGTGTCATCATGTCTTGAGAGGAGGTGCAACTTCTGGTCAAAAGCTAGGCACGTGGTTTCTTCTGTACACATGTTATTCTCTTGGAGGATCTCTTTGACACCGTTCAGCCAAGTTTTTCACGGTATGAATACCTTTAAAACCAAACTATGAATATTCACGGCGAGTGTTCTGGTGTGATTTGCTTCTTCTTTCCTATCAAACATTTATCGTCCTTATCTCCCCTTCTCCTTTTTTATGTTTGTTACTCTCTTGTAACACCTCTAATCTTCTGGCGCTCATATGACCTTATGCAGTTGCGAGCGCCGTAAAACCTCTACTAAAACTAAAAGAATATTCATTGTGTCTCTCCTTTTGTTCCCGCGGTGTGTGTGGGTCGTGCAGGCATGGTGGAGATGTGGCGTCGTGCGGCTCAGGAATACGTCGCAGACTTTGACAGCAACTACTTCACCGATCTGGTCAGCCTGTACTCGGCACTGGAGCTGGTCACGACTCACAAGTCTGCCGTGGCCCTGGCCAGTCTGGTAGGTTTTCTTTGGTCCTTCTTTCATGTTTTACGTTTTACATCGCAGAACAAGCCACACATAATTTCTCCCCCCTCCTCCCTCAAACTCGCTCCCACCACCTCTCTTTTTTTTAAAAAAGGGCGTGCTGTATTTTGACAGCTAGCTGTTCAGGCCCAAAAAGCAGAATTTTTATGAGAGAGAAAATGCTATTTCATTCTTTTGATGTTTGTACCTACATCATATGTTTTTTTTCTTTCTCTTATTTTTCAACATTTATCCTTTTAATCTTAATAAAATATTTCTTGAGCACATGCGACCAGTATCACAGATCAAGAAACTGCAATTTTTTAAAGATTGTCAAAATTTGGGGCATAGTCTGAACAGTTGGCCAATGATATGTATAAGTGAGGCATCATGATGAAATCAGGTGCTCGTCAAATTAGTGAAATCAAAGAAATTTTTCTGACTGTTGGGCCATTTTTTTCTAATTTTCTTTTTTGTCTCAACATATTTTATATCCATTTAAAAACACATTTCTGTGTGGATTTTACTAAAAAACATTGATTAAAGGCACAAAAAATGTCAATTTTCAGACTCTCAAGCTATGGAAGTTAGCAAACTTTGGCGGCCATTTTGTAACTAATTTTACCTCCTCTTTCAATCGCAAATATTTTTACATCTATTCAACATAGATGGATATTGTTTTCACTAAAAGTAAGGCCAATGAACATGCTCTAAGATAACCCCAAATAACCTAGAATTGACGAGCGCCTGATTCCACCTCATCGTGCCACTTATATGTTTCTCTCTATATGTGTAAGTACATCATGTCATACACTGGCTTCACCTTAGATGTAGGAAGATACAATTTCAGCTCTTTATTTTACTTGCGACGATTCAAAAAGAAATTTCATGTAGAATGTTTTATGAAGTTGGTCCTCAATGTTTTTCACCTCTCTTGATTCCCAGACTCCTCGCAAGGACAACGAGGTGGTGGTGATTGCTCCGAAGGCTGATGACGATTTCTTCCAGATGATTTACTTTGTGGTTCGGGGTAAGATCTGTCATTGATCATCCAGTGTTTATTTTTTCGACTTGCTTTATTGATTTTGTTCGCCAGCTGTTCAGATATGTACTGACCCAACATTTTGAACATTTAAAAAAATTGCATTTTCACAATCTGTGGTACTGGTTGCATATGTGCTTGAGAAATATTTTGTTATATCATATTCAAGTTCTGGATGTTGGAAAGAACAAAAACTAAGTAAATGTAAGTTCAGTTGTTAATTAAAATGAAGTATATTTTTTTCCTGCTTCTGAAAATCTTTGCTTTCTGGGCTTAGTATATGGTCGCTTTTAAGCATAAAGGGGCTATCCCGAAAAATGCTGTTTTGAGAAAATTGAAGGTTAAGTTTTTGGACCCTTGTTCAGTTTCTCTTAAAGACAAGGAGAGTTTTCTCTATAATCAAACAAATATACACGCCAACGAAACCAAACTTCTCCTATAGGTAGGGCAATGCCCACTTTTGGTGTAGGTCAAGACTTCTGGAAACCCCCGAAATCTGGGTTAGCCCGCTTGTCCTTAAAAGCGACCCTATTTGAACAGCTTGCCGGTGGCTTATTTTCTTGACTTGCTTTATGGATATACAACATGTTTTCTTCACTCAATGCTCCATGCACCAATGTTTTAACACGGTGCTCTGGAGGTATCTGTCCTTTGTGTCTCTGTCTGTCTTGCTCTCACCCTGCACGAAATGACTGGAGGTTTTATGTTCAACAAACAAACCAATATTATTTCCCACTAACTTGTTACTATTGTGAACTTGATTTCTTTCAGCTTTCATGGATGATCTGAAAAAGTACTCATTCTCACTCGGAGGTGGATTTCCTTCAATGGTATGTCTGGACTATCTGTTGATGGATAAAACTGGCTGACCTGGAATATTTACCTTCTTTTTTTTTATCTCTGTACGTCCACTTTTTCTTCACTTCCCTTATCAAGTTGAGCATGTTCTAATGACCAGCTGTCCAAGACACTCTCCTGTACAATGACCACTTTTCCCCATGCTTTTTTTAAACCCTTCCAGCCCCATGCGTGTATATTTTCACCAACGCTTGTACCTCCCACCTCCCCATGAGCGTATATTTTCAGTTTCAGGAGGTACCGAATTTTAGACATTTTTTCGAAATCAGCGAACCTAATTAAACTTTAATTTTCATAATATTTGTTCATTTACCTTTAAACCCACAAGGAGCACGAGGCAGGGGTAGGCCACAGGAAACATTGAGCATATGTGTGGAAAGGGACATGAGAGAGATGAAGCTCACTTGGAACGAGCTAGGAAGGATGGCCAAGGACAGAGTTAAAAGGAGGAAGCCTGTGTGTGGCTTATACCCTGCTAGGGATGAAAGGCATTGATGATGATGATGATGATGATGATATCCGTGCTTTCGTTTTATACTAAATGATTCGTGGCAGTTAATTCTGTCATGTTTACTTGACGGTTAATTTCTCTGAACTTTCATTTGCATTCCAGAAGACACATCCTGGACTGGCTGAGATTCCTGCATTTGTTCGTATCATCACCCGAGGGGTCATGACAGAGATACGTACTGACATAAGCGCACTGGAGCTTTTCACCGTAAGTTACTGACTGTTAGTTATGTACACTCATCGAATGTTCAGTTCAAGAAACACGTATGCCATATTTTTCTAAAAATCAACTTCTTTTGCTTTTTCGTGGTCGCAGATCAACTTTCTCTGTCACACATCTTTTCAATGTGAGGATTGGACTGCAAATAACTTAATTATAGTCCAATCCTCACGTTGAAAAGTCATGTCAATGTTACAAAAATGGGACATCCGGGTTCCTTGAATTGAAACGTTGACATATTGATGTCTTTGTGTATGAGTGTATCTATTTATTATTATTTTTATTTTTTTATAAGAGTCTAACCTGCATATTATGCACATAGCAAACAGAATTTCAGGTCCCCAATATTTTTTTTCTTCATGTATGATAATTGCATTTAGAACACATTTGTAGTAAAATCGAAGAGATTTTTCCAATTGATTTTGCCATGGGCATGCGAGACTATTATTTTTATTGTATTAACATGTGTGTGTGTTTGAGCCATACATGTTTTATTTCGTGCTTTGTTGGCCATTTAAAATTATAAATTTGCTACTAACCCCTACTGTAAGGCACTTTGCCCTTATTTTCCTCACTTCCCCAGGTGAGAATGGGCACCCAGCCCCATAGGCATCGAAAGATCTTGTCAGTATGTTAGTGTTTTAGCGCCTATAAATGGCCGCTTGCACTTTATGCTTCCCTGGAAGTTGAGGTTGTTTCAAAATGCTCTCAGGTCCGCTGGGGTAATAATATAGATTGTGAAGCGCTTAGAGCTTGCTGTTGAGAGGGGATTTGCGCTATACAAATGCTATCTAATAATGATTTTAAGATAAGTTTCTGAAATGAATGCTTGATGTAGCTTGATGATTTCTTTCTTTCTTTCTATCTTGAGGCCACCAACGTGAATATTGACCCCTACAAAGTGATCCAGGTGATCCGACAGTCCGTGAAAACCAGGGCCCACCTGTTGTGAGGCGGAGTCGTTCCTACAGCAAGCAACTGGTGTGGTGTGCTCCTTCTTTTCTAACAGACATCTATATTCTATTGCCCTTATCTCTCCTCCTTCTTTCCTATCAAACATCTATTGTCGTTATCTCTCCTCCTTCTTTCCTAACAAACATCTATTGTCCTTATCTCTCCTCCTTCTTTCCTATCAAACATCTATTGTCCTTATCTCTCCTCCTTCTTTCCTATCAAACATCTATTGTCCTTATCTCTCCTCCTTCTTTCCTAACAAACATCTATTGCCCTTATCTCTCCTCCTTCTTTCCTAACAAACATCTATTGTCCTTATCTCTCCTCCTTCTGTTCTATGTCTGTTACTCTGTAGTAACACCTCTAATCTTCGGCCCTCATATGACCTACTTGTGTTGCAAATGTCGTAAAACTCTAAATTAATACTTTTCAAAAAACAAAAACTGGTCTTTTTTGTGACAGTGACATTTGTTTTCAAGAGGTATCTTATTATTGTTGCATTCTCTCACTGTGTAAATGCAATGCTTTTGTATGTGTTTTTTAATAAAACAAATACACGACTCTGTCAATGGCTCAATCTGACATATATATATGCAAAATGTGAACAAACCCCCTTTGTGTACCTAATTTGACTCTCCGCCTGCTTGCAGCGTGCTCAGAACATGGGTGTGGGTTCAAAATCCGATCTGGGAAGATGTGTTATGAAGATGGGGAAGAGTCTGATTGCGGTAAATAAGATGAAGTATCAGAAGTACAAATGTATGTATATATGTTTGTGTATGTTTGTAAATTATAAGCACTAGTAGGTAGATAGGTAAGTGGGTAGGTAGGTAGGTTGGTAGGTAGGTGGGTAGATAGGTCAGTAGAATGGTTATTTTATTCAGTGTTTAAGGTTATTGACCCACATCACATAAAGCGTTCTCATTTTACAATTAAGAGAGGCTTCAGTGAAAACAACATAAATTATTAATGATACATATTATATCAAGAACATTTTAAAGACATAGATCAGTTTTTTTGGTTATTTTATCCTTTTCTAGTCATTTCATTGTTGCTCCAGTCATTTATATAATTGTTTATCCTTTTAGATGTATTTTCTGGTCATATTTATTATATAGAGATAAAAATTGATGTATATGTGTGCATGTTTGTTTTTTTGTGTTTTTTTGGGGGGGGGGGGGGGGGTTTACGTGCATGTATTATATACTGACATCATCAAAATTAGCAACATTTCATGTTTTAGTCAGTTAAACACACTTTTTATAATGTTTTCTTGGTTGATAACTGCTTTTTTCAACCTGACGTGGGTATTTATATATTATATTGTTCTTAACAATGTTTTTCTGTGTGTTTGTGTCTTTGTATGTCATTTCATTTACTCTGCATTTTGTTTGTTGAGTCATGATTAAGTAACATTCCAATTCAGGGCCAGTTTTGTTTGGACTTCTCTGTTGACATCCACCCCTTGGCGCTCATATGACCTTATTGAGTTTTTGCGAGCGCTGTCAAACCTTATTAAAACTAACTTGATTCTTACCCCCCGGGGCTGTGCCACTGACTGAAGTGTCTTTAGGCCATTCCTAAAGGGGGGACATTTCTCATTCAAGCACAGAAGAATTGTAAATGGGCTGATCTAACAATATCATGCTCATAACTGTGCCTGAACTGCAACAGGGAACTGCTGCTTTTTCTTTCCTAATCCTTACTATCGTCATTTCCCTCTACTTCTATTGTATGTTTGTCACACTCTTGTGACCCACTATTTCCGGGGTGCCTTGATAGTCGAAGCAGACTTTGTGCTGCTGAAGCTAGAGAGGTGAGCAGAGTAAACCTGATTCCCTGTAAAGACTTCTTTGTTGATATCCACCCCTTGGTGCTCATATGACCTTATGCAGTTGCGAGCACCGTAGAAACTCTACTAATACTAAAACTAACTTGGTTCTTCATACTCCTGGCTTGGTGATGTCTGAGAAGCCAGTTGTGTGAGATGGAAGGACTATTGAAAAAAACAAACAACCTCGTTTTGTGGAAATCTCATCAAAACCATACCACACAATTTTTTGTGTGTTCCATTTGTGTCCCCTCTACTTATGGTATGTGATAATCTGGTACTGATTGCGGTAAATTACACGCTTATGCTCATTTGTACCTACCGTATTTTTCTTATTGTTGCCCGTTGAGTGTTCATTACTTGGTTGTGAAGAATAGATTGCACCCGGTAGCTTAAATGTACTTATCTAACTAATAGTACTTGTAAGTAAAATAGATTGTAGCATAATTATACTTACTAATATTATTTATTATAGTGCAACAGATTGTACTATTAATGTACTTATTGTAAAATAGATTGTACTCTGTACATGTACTTATAGTAAAACTTTGTTCACATCAAAAGGAGAGAGAGAGAGAGTAAAAACAAGTGAACAAACATGACATGAGATTGAAAAAAAAAAATTTAATGCACTAAGTTACTCTTTTTGGTGTTGTTGTTCAGTACCTGACCAAGATAGAGAATGGTGACAATCTGGCAGCATTTTGTGGTCTATCTCACTGTTCCCGTCATTTTATAGATCAGATGGAATTTTTTTTTTTTTTCATTTGCTTCTCTTCGAGAAATTGGAAGAAGACTGGCTAGACGTGGTACCCTCTGGTGGAGGGCATATTTACTTATAATACACATGATCGTTTGATGGGGGTCAGGAATCACAGTCAACACTACCCCCCGGGAAGTGCCACTGACTGTAGTGTCTTTAGGCCATTCCCAAAGGGGGGAACATTTCTCGTTCAAGCATAGTAGAATTGTAAATGGGCTGACTCATGTCACGCTCATAACTGTGCCTGATCTACAACAGGGAAGTGCTGCTTTTTCTTTCCTGATCCTTACTATTGTCATTTTCCTCTACTTCTTTTGTATGTTTGTCACACTCTTGTGACCTGCTATTTCCGGGGTGCCTCGATAGTCGAAGCAGACCTTGTGCTGTTGAAGCTAGATAGAGAGGTGAGCAGTCTAAGTCTGATTCCCTGTAAAGACTTCTCTGTTGACACCCACCCCTTGGCGCTCATATGACCTTATGCAGTTGCGAGCGCCGTAAAACCCTCTACTATTTAAAAAACATTTTTTTCAATAGTCAACACTGCCTTAGATGGCCACCTATTGTTGAGGAGAAAAGTGGTTGTCTTAAACTGGTGGGTGTCTTAGACATGTGGGTGTCTTGGACAGTGTCGTTATAATGTGAAGCGTGCTGACAAAATGAATTACTTCTCGCAATCCATGAAGATATCGACCGAAAATCAACACAAAGGTCATATTTATAGATTCTAAACCAATGCCATTCTCTTCATGTATAACATGTCTTTTATCATTTCATTTTGACAGATTGTAAAAACTCAACCTAAAAATTTGACGTTAATATTTCCTTCAGGCTAAAATCCGAGAAGTAACTCATTTTGCCAGCACGCTTCACATATATATATTTTTTTTAAAGAGACAATGGGTGAATTTAGAAGTGGTTGTCTGTACAGTACAGATTAATGTCTTATAGTTAGAGATAGTTTGATTGCATGTACTTAATGAACTGTTATCTAGTCTACAACGTACGATTTTTGTGTTGAGCTAGCTCGTGGTAGCCAGTCATATTTCTTTGCTTTTTGGATTCTTGGTTTGACGACTTCAACCTGTTATCAATTTATACTCAGAGAGGATGAGATTCTGTGTCCTCACTTGCCAGTTTACATTGTTAATAATATATGTATTTATGATAAATGTTACTTATTTATGTTTAAATGATCACGGACAGAAAGAGGACTCGATTGAATTACTTGAATGAATATTTCTTGGGTTAGTTGTTCTATTGTTCTAAGACCAGAAAGTTACATTTTACAGGAGGTTGGAAAAAACTCTTACTCTTAATTTCTTTTTTTAATGTTGTACCTAAATTTGGTATTGTTTCTTGATTATTTTCAATATTCAGAATTTGAATTTGGACAAAATACTTTTGAAGCACATGCGACAGATACCACAGATCAAGAGACTGCGATAAAAATACATTTCAAACTTCTGGCCTTAAAACATCTGGACATCTGACCTGCAATGTGAGGCATCATGGTGAAAGCAGTCGCTTGTCAAAATAATGAAATAGAAAAAAAGTCATTTTTGCACCAGTTTGGCAATTTTAATCAAAAGCAAACACCTTTTATATTCATTTTAATATTATGAAAACACATTTCCATATATAAATTTTATTGAAAAACCTTGTATAAACTTATAAAGGCACATAATATGTAATTTTCTATTTTTAAGGATTCTTATAAGCTCTTGAAGTTACCAAACTTTGGCATCCATTTTCTCGCTAATTTTACTTCTGAAACCAGGCTACCCCACCTTCTTCAATGGCAAATATCTCAACTTCTATTCAAGATAAATGGATATTTTTTTTCATCAAAAGGAAGGCAAATGAACAAGCTTTTAAATGATACCAATAACTCCCTCTGCCCAAAAATTGACGAGCGTCTGATTCCACTGCGTCGTGACATGACGCATTATATAATTCATTATATTGCTTGCTGTAAGCAGCATCAGTACAAATGGTTAGAGTCAGGGTTAGCATCAGTCTGTCCCCGTGGTTTTATGCACCTGGCATAATTTAACAAAATTTGATCATTTTTTGCATAATTTCTGATTATTTTCCTTTATCATTCTTTGTTATTAAAATTAACAGAATCGCATAATTTCACATTTTTGTGCTCAGTTTGCATAATTTCAGAATTTTTCTTGCATAAAACGACGGGGACAGATCAGTGCCAATGGTTAGGGTTAGGTTTAGGGTTAGCATCAGTACCAGTGGTTCAAACCCTGTCTTTTCACAATATTTTTATGAACTGCCACCAACAACGTGTGCTTCTTCAATCTTAGTCCTAGTGTCCACGCCACCTGGTGTTAGATCTGTGAAAGTACTGAAAGGTGGTAAATTTAAAGGTACTGTTTCATTTTGCTTGAGATGTCCGTCACTTTGTCACTCCAGTCACTGTGAATGCACGTCTTTCTGACCTACTTGTACGTGCTCAAATGCACAAACACAAATTAATTATTATAACAATACTCACAGACTCACTGAGCTTAATTTATTTATCTATATATATATCACATTTACTGTGCTGTACTGTAAGTACATCATGTATTAACTTTACATTACTGGTTCAGTATTTGCTTTTGTTGACAGTCACTTCTCAGTTTGGAGTATGTTGGTGGGTGCTGTGGTGTGGTTTGCTCCTTCTTTCCTATCAAACATCTATCACCCTTATCTCTCCTTCTTTTTTTGTGTTTGTTACTCTCTTGTAACACCTCTAATCTTCGCCACTTATGTGACCTTATTGTGTTGCAAGTGCTGAAAAACTCTTACTAAAAAAAAAATATAAAAAAAAGAAGTACAATGTTAGTGTGTAGGCCTACAGTGGAGTCTGCTTTAATTGAACGCATTTTTCTGAAAACAAGGGTAAACCAAACGTAAACGGAAAAACGTAACCCCCAGGGGTTTTTTTTTGCTTTGCTCTTTTGCTCTTTGAGAAATCTTTCTAGACCAAAAACACGGCTAGATCGATCGGAAAAAAAAATCAGGGGGTCTGGCAGATTTCAGTTAAAGCGAACTCCACTGTAATTTATGGCCCAGTTAATCTGAAGTGATTGTGTTGTGTGTGTGTTGTGTTCCATGTCATAAGTTAATGCAGTCTGGATCTTTAGTCATAAGTTAATGCAGTCTGGATCTTTAGTCATAAGTTAATGCAGTCTGGATCTTTAAAATTTGAAAGCCTTTGCCTTCAAGATCATAAAACAGTTTAAATTGTGTTGATATCTTCATTGGTTAAAAAGTTATGGCGATTTTTCAGACGTAAAATCAGGCCAATTTCAGGCCATTTACTCTATTGCCATTTATTGTATGAAAAACTTAGCTGGCCAATGTGCGAATCTGGGTCAAATCAAATTTTTTCTTTCAAATATAATGAAAATGACCCCGCTTTTTATCTGAGTTCTCAGTAGTTTGAATGGAAATTACAAGTTGAAACGCTTTTTCTATTTTCTATTTTGATCAACACATGATTTTGTTAGATAATACAAATGGGAAGAAAACAACTATAGATTGAAGTGTAGAATTTTCTTGTATGTGTAACATAATTATTTGATTAATAATTTGCAATTCTCTTTTTTTTTCTTTTTTTTTTCCAATTGCTTAAAGGAGCCCTTTTGCCTTTTATGAGTAGAAGTTTTCAGGTTTAGAAATGTCTAGGTTGATGCAGCTGACAGCTGATGATCTTTTTCTGTTTGTGGTCTGTCTGTCTGTCTACTGTCTGTCTGTTTCTCTCTCTCTCTCTCTCTCTCTTTTTCTCTCTCTCACTTTGCCTGTACTGAACTAATGGCCTTTACTGCACTGTGTGCATTTTGTACGTGTGTTTTCTGTCAATTTAAATAAATAAGTACAGGGTAAACATATTCTGGAAACTGGGAAGATTTTTTGTGTGGATTGTTTGAATTAGTAATGACCTTCACTAGTGTGGAAATTTATGAGCCTGTAAAACGTCTGAATTTTATACTTTAAAGCACAGTTTATTATTAATAACCCCCCCCCCCCCCCGTCCACCCCTCCCTGAGAAACGTTTTTCTTTGACAAAGTTAACACAGTAAATGGATGTAAAAAAGTACCTGGCTTTTGTCTGAATTTTTTAATAAACAGTGATTGATATAGTTTTGAGCCTTTGCACGCAGGAGACCAGAAATTGATTCCTTGCTGAGTGGGGAGAATTTTTATCGAGTATCTCTGTCTGTCTTTCTGGTTGGATGTTGTATCCCTCTCAATCTGAGTTGGCCCTGACAAGCAATGTCAAAGTCCACCTTCTAAATGATCTTAATTGGTCGCTTTTAAGGACAAGCGGGCTAACCCAGATTTCGGGGGTTTCCAGAAACCTTAACATACACCAAAAGTGGGCATTGTCCTACCTATAGGAGAAGTTTGGTTTCATTGGTGTGTATATATGTTTGGATATAGAGAAAACTCTCCTTGTCTTATAAAGAAACTGAACCAAGGTCCAAAAAATTTACCTTCGATTTTCTCAAAACAGCATTTTTCGGGAGAGGCCCCTTGCCTTGTGCTTAAAAGCGACCAATTGTGTCAATAGCAGCATAAAAACATCTACATGAAAAAAAAATTTAATAAGCCCGGTAGCCAGACAAGGGAGCAAGTGACCATCACAGAAATGACTTACACCCTGTCTAGTGCGAGTAGCTAGGTCAGTTATACATTTCAACATCTCTTTGTCCTGTAAAGAATCTGGCTTCTTTCAATTGTTCCATTTAAATCAAAGTTGAAGACAATGTTTTTCAGGAAAGTATATTTATAATGCTGGGACTCTATATCTGAAATATCTGAAATATATATTTTGTTTTTGTTTTGTTTTTAATTTATGCATGTCATAGTGGTACTGAGCTTTAGAGCTTTTGTGGGTGTGTGTGTGTGTTTTGTAAGCGCCACCGAGCACTTTTTGTGGATTCATTTATTATTATTATTATTATTATTATTATTTATGTAGAAATTATTCAGGAGAATTGAGGGGTGATTATCAAGGCTTTTCTTTTTTTTTTTACAATACCGTTTATTCTCGCCTATAATATGTTGGGTTTTGTTTTATTGAGGCCCAAATGTATCCCCCGTGTATTATACAAGGTAAACATAGCCAGGATCAGGCCACACAAAGGAAAAGTAATTTTATAACAATTTGAAACTTCACAAATTAACTCATTCTCAACGCAACATCGAACAGTTTTAAAGTAAGGTAAAACATTACATTTCGTGCCAAACTATGGTGAGGTTGAAAATTCGTGGCGCAAATTATTGTCAAATATCTCCTCAACTATCGAACATAAACTCTCCAGCTTATGCACCGTGACTTGTATCAATTTGTCTTAACAGATCAATATTTTTGTAAACATCTGTTAGCTCTGTATTCTAGAAAATTCCTTAATAAATAGGCCTAATAAAAAATCCCAATGGGTGCTTTCTACTGATTTTGAAAGGTTTACAGCTAGGACAATATCGCTTTTAAAAGTGAGTCCGTCATTTTTTTCTAATTGTGAGATTATCTTTATTGAACGCATGTTTTAAGAACTTTTAGTTTTAAAAAATGTTCTCTATAAAATTTATCTCTTGTAACTAGTTTTGCAACTAAAAAGTGTCTTTGCTGAGCTGTGACAAAAACCATATGTGTAGGCAAAAAGTGTGTGAAAAGTGGGAAGTGCTGTGAACAATTCCATTTTCTTCGTGAAGGAGATTGGTAGTATTTTATATAGATCTAAATTCATGAAGAAAAGTTGTTAAATCTAGCCTTAATGGTTGTGGAAAAATTATATGATTACGTGAAGACAAATTAAATTGATACAAACTGCTGTGCAAAGTATAGGTGAAACTGATTCACCCGTTAAAAAAGATATTTGAGGAAAAATTTGGTCACAAACTTTTAACCGCACTATAGTACTTGTAGTAGTTGATTTCACGAATGTTGAGCCCCTCTAGCATGTGAGAAAGTCACCCTGTATTATGGACGTACTAAAAATGGCCCAATTTTGGAATCAAAGTAGACTCACTGACTGTACTATACATGAGGTTGTGTTATAGACGAGTATATACATATGTGTCACAACGCGGTGAAATCAGGCGCTCGTCTATATTTGGGCATGTGGAGTTATTGGTATCATCTGAAAGCTGATTTATTTGCCTTGCTTTCAATGAAACAAATATCCATTTATCTTGAATAGAACTCAAGATGTTTGAAAGAAGTGTGGTCGCCTGGTTTCAGTGGTGAAATTAGCGAGAAAATGGCTTGAAATCTGAAAAATGGCATATTTTGTGCCTTTAATAAATGTTTTTCCCTGCGCGCTCACATGACCTTAAGCAGTTGCGAGCACCGTAAAACACTCACCAAAAAAAAAAAAATGTTTTTCAGTAAAATTCGCTTGGAAATGTGTTTTTTATAATATGGACACAAATTTTCCAACTGGCGTAAAAATGCCCGTTTCTCCTATTTCGTTATTTTGACGAGAGCCTGATTTCACCACGCTGCCCCACATATACACTAATTGAAAAAGCAAATTGATTGACTGTTTAATGTTGTTTGTTGTTCGACAAGGTTTGGTAAGTGGTTGCTGTTCTTTGGTAATTATTTTTTCTGTTTGTTATTTGATTTTATATTGATAATAAAAAGATTTGTAAAAACCTGGGGTAAACTTTGTGTCTTTATTAATGCTTTCTTGTGGCAGTCATGAAAATGTCATCAACATGAAAATACAAAAACGCATGTAATACTCTTTAAAAATTGGCTCGACAGGTAAATCTCTCTCTCTCTCTCTCTCTCTCTCTCTCTCTCTCTCTCACTCTACTCTCTATCTCTCTCTCTCTCTCTCACTCTCTCTCTCCCTCACTCTACTCTCTGTCTCTCTCTCTATCTCTGTCACACACACACAAACATGAAGATATAATACAGACATTCAAATTGGTCTTTCTCCATAAACCCATAATATTCTCTTTCAAACAGGGATGTACAAAAATTAAATTACAACATTTATTATGGTCAAATGATTCACAGCAAGAGTTAGGATGAAGTCTGCAATCATTGTCTCTTACATAATTCATATATTTTTCAGCCAAAAGTATGCACTTTGTAGTACAAATAGAAAACCACACTCACACACACATGCATAAATACAGTGCAGCCTCTCTACAACCACCTTCGATATAACGACATTCTCTGTATAGCGACATGGTGCCCAAGTCTCGATTATTTTCCTTATATTTATCATTAGTAATATTCTTGGTTGCCTCTCTATAATGACAACTTTCTATAAAGAAATTTTTTTCTGGTCCCGACGATGCTGTTATAGAGAAGCTGCATTGTAAATATAAGCATTTATGCACACATAACACATGCACACATAACACATGCACATGAACGCACACACTTAATGTCGGCTACATGTACCTGACTTTTTCCTTTAACTTTTTTGTTCAGTTTGAGTTGTTTAGTTTTGGTCTGTTTGTTGGTTGTTGTATTACCAGTCGATGTTTTTTTTCTTGGCTCTAAATGACGGTCAAGCCACGTCAGTGAGCTGATTAATGACTCCTCCCTTTGTGAATTTAACAGATGGGCAGAAAGGAAAAGACACATTAATAAAGATAGATCTAACCAACGCAGAGGCCACTTAACATCAAGAAATTCTCTTTTAAAAAATTATTCTGGAAGTAGCTAGGAGTTTTAAACTCAAACCACAGGCAATTATTGGCCTCATAGACATCATTTCCCTTTTGAGAGAGGTCAAAGGCACATAGGCCATTCCATTGTTGAACATTAACTCCTTCTGTGCCCTAACTTTCTTTACCCCATAGGACAGAGCATAAGGTGATAAACTGTGGTATTTAAAGAGTTAAATATAAATCTTGACTTTACTCTTTCCTTTTTATGCCATGGTTCTTGTTCTTATAAAGAATTTAAATTTGGACTCCTTTTAATTTTTTTCATGTGTACTTTACATTAATACTGAATCAAAATTTTAAAAGACTGCGAAACATTCATGTAATGTACCGACTTCAGGTCAGGAAAATACACTAGGTACATGAACATGTCATTGTGCATTGCGTCCTAGTCCTTAGTACGAGCTATTGCATCCTTAGTATTTTGCGGCTGTGTCATTCAGGGGAAGCTGCTGTGACATCATGTGACCTTCAGTGAAATACACAACTATGACAAGCACTTTAACTTTGAACTTGTGACCCTGAAAATGAGACCGTGATCAAATATACCAGTACACAATATTCAAAGACGAGCTGATTTTTTCCTTAACATGGGCCGTATTTTGAGCCAAAATAATTTTAGATGTATCCAGATACTGGCAATTTCCACCTTTTTTCAGCACCTTACAGAACTATATGAAAATGGTCTCGAATGTGATGGAAATAAAGTACAAATTTACTGTGACTACTGTCATATTACTGAGTGCTGAACATGTATGATGCAAGATTCATGGTGAAGTTAAAGAGGAGCTTCGCATGTTTACAGAACAAGAAATATCACAAGGCACATCTGAACAAACAGGTCTAGGCAAAATGAATACATAATATATTGTACATGGCATATATACAGAGCAGCCTCTCTATAACGACCTTCAATATAACGACATCCTCTGTATAGCGACATGGTGCCCAGGTCCCGATTTTTTCCTTATACATGTATATCATTAATAATATTTTTGGTTGCTTCTCTATAGCGACAACTTTCTATACCGACATTTTTTTCTGGTCCCAACGATGTCGTTACAGAGAGGCTGCACTGAACGTATTATTATTTCTATGAAAAATATTTCATTGAGTGACAAGGTAAATGGGCCTGCTCAGGCAGCCGAGTCCAAACTTTCTGTATAATATGTCACCAAATGCGTACCTTGGGAATTAAACTGCAGCTGCTTAATTGGTTACTAGACTCTTAGGGACTATGTCATGATGATGTCCCATATAACGTGAATTCAGTGAGTAGGTCTTTGGAATGTCCTACTTCATAGTGTACTGGCATAGTATCATGAATAGGTCTTTAGAATACCCTACTTTATAGTATACTGGCTTAATGCAAAGGTATTTGAAATGTCCCACTTTATAGTATACAGACTGAGTGTATAGGCCATTGGAATGTCCAACTTTATAGTATACTGGTTGAGTATATAAAGGTATTTGAAATGTAGTACACCTTTTGAGTGTATAGGCCTTTGGAATGTCCAACTTCATAGTAAACTGGCTTAGTATGTATAGGTATTTGAAATGTAGTACACTGACTGAGCCTTTGGAATGTCCCATTTTATAGTATACTGGCTGAGTATGTAAAGGTATTTGAAATGTCCCACTTTAGAGTACACAGACTGCGACAGAATGTATAGGTTTTTGAAATGTTCCACTTTCTAGTACACTGGCTGAGTAGGGACGTCTCATGGCACTGGTTTGCTGAGGTCTTTGGAATGTCCCGTTTGATGAAGGCTTTGCGACAATGTCATGATAATGCCATTTGAATGCTCAGGTCTTTGGAGTGTCTCATTTTACATTAAATTCGATGGTGAATCTTTGGAAAGTCTGGAACCTGGAACAATGTAGTACGGTACTGGTACAAAATAGGAGTCTTTCCAGTTTTTTATTCTACCATGCGCCAGTATTTTTTTACACTACCTTTGATGGATGGTAATAGTAACATGTGTAATCTTTGGCACAAATCTTATCTATTAGTCTTACCAAAACTAAAACATGCAAATATTTCACACTTGAACTGACACAAAATACTTGATCTATGAGGTAGGCTGCATCAAAAAGGAAGGGTCTTTGGAACCTGATGTTGGTTAATGGTCTTTGGAACGTTCCGTCTCGTTCTAAATAGAAGCATCAGATGGGTCGATGGAACCTGATTTGGATAATGGTCTGTTGAACGTCTGCTCTGATAGTAGATATTGAGATCAGAGGAGTCTATGGAACCTGGTACTGGATACTGGTCTATGGAACTTTGTATTGGATTATATAATGGCCTTTGGAATGTTCCCTCTGATGGTAGATAGAAGCATCAGATCAAACTGGTCTATGGAACCTGATGTTGGATAATGTCTTTGGAATGCTCCCTCTGATGGCATGTAGGAAGCATCAGACAGGTGTAAGGAACTTTGTATTGGATAGTCACTGGCAGCATTGCATACAGACATAAGTCATTTTTGGCAGCCTTTGAGATACGTCTGTATGAAATACTGCCGGCGTAATAGTCTTTGGAAAGTCCCCTCTGATGGTAGATAGAAGCATCAGAGGGGTCTATGGAACCTGATGCTGGATAACGTCTTTGGAAAGGCTAATTCGACGAGCCCATAACGAAGCAGACTTTGGAGAGGCTCACTGATGTCTCATTAGGAACTCTTCCTCCAGCAAAGACGAGACTTTCAGAGCCTTACAATGATAGACAGAGTGCTGGAGCATTTCTTCCTCTTCCATCTCGTCCTCCTGGACATGCCAGGAAAGACTACTCTCTGACTGCCCGTTGTGTCTCGCGATGTGACTGGCCCCGGACGGAGGTGGCACCCTGGTGGTGTGGGAGGTAGGAGAAGGGGGACACAACTCTTGGTGTGTGTGGAATCTATGCTGCGGCAAACCTTGCACTTCTCGAGTAACTCTCTGCGTGGACACAGAACTGGGAACGCGCTCTCTCTGTGCTGCAGACGTCGTACGGTCGGAACTAATAGCAAGCTCAGGTATGCTGCGCATTTCGATCTTGTGACCCTCAGGTGTGTCATGGTCAAGATCCATGCCGGCCTCAGATGTGTTACAAGCACACATCATCTGGGTCTCATGTGAGCTGTGATCTAGAGGACCGGACGTGCCACAGGTGAAGGTCAACTGGGTCTCGGATATATTGTGATCTGGAACCATGTGGGCTTCAGATAAGCCATAGCAGGTGAAGCCCCCCTGGGCCTCTGACATGAAATCTGGGGAAGTAGCGGTTAAAAAGGCAGCATCACTGTGAAGGTGGTGCGGGACTGCTTGTCTTGTGTCATTGTAGGAAGGACTTGACAAGTTCGGGCCGCCTCCACATCCACCAAAAAAGGTCATGGTGTTGCTCTCACGATCAGACAACGCTGGCTCTCTTGTCCTGCAAGGGAGAGAATCACCTTCTGTACTTCCGCTTTGACCAGAAAATTCCTGCGAGTTGTCTTGCTTCACGTCATGTGATGGACGATGATGATCTAAGCGATTTGTACATACATATTCTAGTCTTTTAATAGCTGACTTTTTGCTTCTCTCGTTAGATCTCTCGGCAAACATTCCCGATTCATCTTCGGTGTGTTGACAAGGGCAATAACCGTCCTCTGTTTGTGGACAGGAATATTCTCCGGCGACTGAGTCACCTTCCCTTTGGTCTAAGTCTTGAGACCCAATCTTCAGTCTTGCAAGATGAATGTACATCTGTCGACAGAAGGAAAAAAAATGTTACTAAAAGAAAGTGTAAACAACAATAACAAAATCGTAAGTACAAAATCTACAACCCTCGCCAGGGTGTACTATTTGTGGGAGACTTTTCCTCAACTCTCTCAGAACGTAGCAGACGCACAGATCTGTCCTCGGAGAAAGTTGCATTTGAAAAAAGCAACAGTTGAAAAAAGTTGAAAAAAAGTTGCAAGAAAAGTAGCAATACCTGTATAGCTAAAAAAATATTTAAAAATTTAAAAAAATAAAAAATAAATGGAATTATTGGAATACATTGTTGGTATGTTACTTGCAATCAAAGAAGCCTACACGAGTTTTGTTAGATAAATACATGTCCGATCAGACGCAGAACCTAAGAAAACGTTGTGGCACATTTGGAACCATCATACACACAGATAAAAAAAAGGAAATTTGTATACTCTATGAAACACATGTTGTTACCTTCCTTTTCAGTCTAAAATCCAGAAAGAAAAAACCCCCAGAATTTAAAGATCTGTTTACGGAATAACCAAGTTCTTTTCCACTGCCCCAAAACTGCACGTCTTCAAGTCAGAGTTGTCAAAGAACATAAGTGCATGACTCCAATGAGTTATATTCTCTTTTGGTAGGTCCTCCCGGAGGTAAAACCCATACGATACCTAATGTGCGTGTGTGTGTGTGTGTGTGTGTGTGTGTGTGTGTGTGTGTGTGTAAATGTTGGTGAGTGCACTTGTGTGAGTATGTGTGCGTGCGTGCACATAGTGTGTGT